AGAGGAACATCGCAGGTGTTTGTATAGGGCCTGGCACATAAGTCCCTCATATCCCCAGAGATTCAAGCTTCTGAGTAGGGCTCCATGTTGCTACAATACTACAAATATAGTAACAGTGACACAGAAGGCTAACCCAGGGAATTGTTCAGCAAGCCTGGCTCAGGGAATAGTAATATCTGTGATAAGACATCAAAAGAAATTCTTACTGTTTCTCAGTAGCTGAGTTTAGACCTAAAGACATGTCAAGCTGCATATGGCCATCAAAATTTATTGTCTGTATGGCATTCAGAGCACTTGTGTTACGTACAAACAGCATTTTATTTCTCTAACAAACAAGACTGGCTGTTGCCCTGCGATCCAGGGAAAGCCTTTAGGAGAAGTGTGCTGTAACATGGCTCAGCTTCTCAGAAACAAAGGGCTTCACTCATCTTTACTGTAATTTCAAGGGAATTAAATGAGATCCAAAATAGATGATTTTTAACAGCCAGCTGCCTTAACACAAACACTCATTTCTTTCTTCCAGTGAGCCAGCTAGGTAGTCAGCAAAGAAGAAGAGTACCCTTCTGCCAGTTGTACAAGATAAAGATAGAAATACAACATATTTTGAGGCTGTACTGCAACCTTGCAAACCCTTCTACAGTGATAATAAACATTAGAGAAGAGAAACAGTACACATCTATCAGATCCAGCTCCATGAGCTGCTTCAAACACTGTCACTACAGGAAGCTACTGAGCCACAGCCAATGGGAGTCCCTTGGGCCCCTCTGCAGGTGGTTCTGGGCTATCCAGCAAGGAGCAAACCCTGACCTGTTCCTGTCTCCCCCTTCAGAACATGGTTTAGTTGGAGGCTGAAGACAGTTTTTTTCCCTGGGAGGAAATTTCTGGCATGCTCCATCCCCCACAGATCTGTAACTACATGGCCACAGGAGCCGCATCTCCTGTTCTTGATAGGACCTTACTCAGAGAATTACATTTCCCCATATCAGAAAGCTCCAGGAGCAAGGTTTAAAGCACATCAAGTGCTATGATACACTATGATACACTATGATACAAAGCCAGCAGGTTAAAAGTTAATGGCTTATTTTTGTGTTACATTCTCACCAAGTAAGGCTGACGCTATCTATTCCCCTGATAATTTCTACAAGTGGCATATTTGAAAACGATGGAAAAATGGCCGTACCAACATGTTAATGGGAGCTGTTGGCTATCAGCATAACTTGAGGTGATGTCTATAGACACCACAGCACTGAAAGCAGCAGCTGTTACCAAGGCAAACAGCTGAAATAAAAGGAAGAAAAGCAGCTTGCAAATAACCGCCTCCGCTAGTCCAAATGACTCTTAACACTCTTTGTATAAAGATACGCTGTTGTTAACATCTGCTTGAAGTTAATCTGAAGAGTTGTTTGCAGATAGCAAAGCTGGTAAGCACCTGCTGCTTTAGGATAGATGAACTTTTGTGGGCATATAACATGCTATTTTATTCCCAGCAGCTCTCACAAACACCACTCTATAAAGAACAGAAATGAATGGACTTTGTAAAGGGCACTCTAGTTGAAATTGAACAGGACTATATACAAGTATTACCAGATACCAGAATAGTCTGAGTCTGGTTCAGAAATATTCTAGAGCCTGAGGATCTAAGTGGTCTTAGAAGGGTGACTAAGGAAAGCAAACCAATTGCTAGTGACTTAGGTTGCCTAAGTCACTAGATTCTAGAGCCTGAGGATCTAAGTGGTCTTAGAAGGGTGACTAAGGAAAGCAAACCAATTGCTAGTGACTTAGGTTGGTAACTTGAAGGTCTATGTAGTAATAAAAGTCAAAACTAATGAAAAAAGAAAGTTCCTGGAACTGCTTCACTGGGCTGACTTGCAAAATGCCCTTTAGCATCAGCGTGTTTGAGTGCAGCACAGGTCCCATCTTTATGGCATGCAGGGAATGCAAGAAGTGCAACATATTTTCTGCATTTCCAGTTTTTTGTGCTTTCTGTCCCCTTGTTAGAGTGTCCCTGAGTCACTCTTCCCATAAAGAATTCCACCTCATTTGAACATTTGTTTGATTTCAGTCAGGTAGATCAAAATGGCAAAGAAAAGGTGACAAAAGCCACAGTTGGACTGAACCCCCCTTTAAAGGACGTCTCTGTATGCCCTCTCATTAGTGAAACTTGTCCGTATTTTCCATGCCATTCTGTTTCAATGGGGAATTGTCCTACTGGATGTGCCCATGCTATAATATGGTAGCTCTACAGTGGACCAATTAGTCCCTGCCTGTACTTTGGCAAACTTTTTTGCCTTGATTTATCCTTCAATTTTGCCTTAGCCTAATTTATGACTGAAACTGTTTCCAGTTTCCAGAATGGCTGTAAATATTCAGACAACAATTGAAGGTGCTGTGATACAGTATATGTTAGTTTGTGTACCTGTAGCTCAGGTCATAAACTAAACAAGAATTTGTCATACAGGACAACAGTTAACAACAGCAGTTCAGTCCATTTCTTATTTCTGTGACTGCCCACAATTAGGAGGAAAAGTGCGAAGGGTGACTGAATCCCACGCATATCTTCTGAGACCTTGTGACATTTCCTGTGTTCTTAATTAGATCTCATCATCTTTTGAGCTTAGCGGAGCTAGCCACTGAGTTTGGTGGAGGGACCAGGCATTTAAGGGAAAGAGGAGGAAGCATCAGTGAAAGGGATGAATTTTTTTCCTACTCTTGAAACTCACTCAAAGGACTAGAATGTCTTCACTCCTTGGGTCAAGAACTGAGATTTTTTACTAGAGTCGTCTTTTAATCAGTATTGCTTTGGAAGGGAAAGATGCTTCTATTTTCCCAGATTACTTCCCACCTCTGCTCTTTCTTGAAAAGTTAAGACCATTCTTCGGTCATACAAAACCATGTCCAAGCTTGATTGATGTATTTAAAATCCTTCCTTTCTGTCTGTACTTTCACAAGATAGTTCTTTTGGAGGTTTGGGAGAGAGATCATCCAATTACAAAGATAAATCCCTCTGAGTTTTACTTTCCCTCAGTTACACAGACATTCCCATACTTTCACTGCCATTTGGGACGCTGACTTTGAAGCACTATTCATCAAGATCAGCTGGGCCTGGAGTCTCCTGCATGATCTGTGATGGTCTTCCATTTGACACTCTAAGCAAAGAGACTGGCAGAGTGACCCACCACTCCATGTTGTACACACAATACCCAGATAACTTCTACATCTTTTTTTTCTCTAATGCATCTTTGCAGCCTTTCCAGAATTTAATTGGTAGTAGTTCCAAATGAATATGGGAGTCTTACACACACAAGTTTCTAGAAAATCAGAGCACTATATTTATGCAGGTGGCAGCAATAAGCTATGTTTGGGAAATCAGATGTCAACTTCGAATTCGGGAAATCAGATTTTTATCTCAGACTATAAGTTATTAACCACTACCACTACTCCTCCTATAAAGCATACACTGTACTGGGAACAATGAGTGCCATTTCTGAGTATCCTGAGTATTTTGAAAAGCCCTGCAAATGCAATGTTCAGAATCCTGGATAACCAGGACAAAGTGGATTCAGTTGCTATGGTTGCAGGCAACAGATAGGGAAGATCTCTATTGCACCTCAGACAGCAACAACTGATTGTGCCACTAAATTCACTTATATTCTTTTGGGGTTTTTTATTATAATAATTCACAGTTGTGCTGACTCTGCTGCAGGTAACATTACTGGCATTAGCAGAGGCAGAAAGACCAGCACTGTAATTTGAAAGCCCAGTGAATAAGTTGTTCCTAGCCTAAAACAATGACCTACGACTACTAACTATGTAAGCAGAAACACTCTGAGTTAAATGTATCCATGCAACAATGAAATGTGACTAAAAGCAATCCCAATCAGTTCCGGTACAGCTTGACAATAAATGATAATCAGTTCCAAAAGGGGATTCTTCTTATATGTTTATAATTGATCAAAAAGATTTACTAACATAGAAGAGAGCTCATTCCAGAAACAATAAAACTGTACCACTACACCGATTAAATTACTCACCAAAGTACCGGGAATTCAACAGTCTTTTTAGTGCAGTGCAGTTTTAATGTCACTTATGTGGCAAAGAATTTTGCTATGTATTCATCACTAACATATTCCATAAACAGCTCCTTCAAATGCAACAGTATTTATATGCTGAAGATGTTATGTGCCAAAAGGGGGCGTACATTAAGAGGTTAACTAATATTATTCTTTTTCCATCCTACTCTAATTAGGGTCATAATGATTAAGAGGTTTGAAGGCAGTTACTTACTCAAATGTGCCAAGCTTTCTTTTTCTTTTTTTCTTTTTTCTTTTTTTGACATAAATATAAGAGTATGTGTGAAGAATAAAACCACAAAGAGCATGTTCACCTCAGGCCCCTTCCCATTATCAGTTTGGGATCACAGGCCAGAACAAGTTTACTTTTTAAAAAATAGCTACAGTTTTCACTCATGTGAGATGTATGAACCAGATGGATACTTTGCTGTTTCAGTTTAGCGAAAAGCAGAAAGGAATGGCATCATCAGTGGTTAAATATATCCTCTGAGTCCAGTTAAGCAGTATCTATTTACAGTATAGATTACCAGGGATGCACAACCTGTGTCTCTTAACAAAGGGAGACAATTAGTCACTGACATTTTCCCATTGTATCCGCCCACCTAATATATATGTACTGGTGTAGTGCAGAATGTCTGTATAGCCATCTAAATGCGTCAGAGCCAATCTAATTTTTCACAACAGTTCTTTTAAAAGAGTCACTGATCCACTGTAGAGAGGTGGGATCAGAGTGACACTCAGTGGCAAGAGAGAAAAAGTGATTCTCAGTTTCTCAGTTCTATCTAACATATTACTAGGATGCATAAAATTTTAATCAGATCATTATTCGTATTTTCTGCCCATTTGATATTATTCTATGTAAGCATTATAATTCAGACCTAAAGATGTACTTTTGATTATGCAAACTGAAAGAAAGATTGGATTATTTACTTTACCAAGGCTGCCCTCACTCATAACTTGTGTGCTGTGATCTCCTGCAACTGAAAAAAAGAAAAATGAATTTGAGAAATTGAACTAATATCTCAAAAAACGAATTTCAGAAATGAGACTTGAATCACCACAGTTTTACATTCTGTTGTATATGAAGCTTTGCAGATGACTGGAACAGTCTGAAGAACAACATTTTACATCTTGCCTACAATGTAGCATGCTGCATATGTATGCATGACAGTTCATGACCCTCACAGTTATTTGGGTTAGATCAAAACATTTTCTGTATGTTTCTGAAAGCAGACTAAGCTATTGCTAAGTGGATTTGGTATCTGAAAAAAAGGGAGACATTTTCCCTTTCATGTAAGAAAACACTGGAATAAATTATGGAATCTTTACTATTAAAGACTTCTAACATCAGTCTTGACAACTATTTTGAGAAATATTTTAGGTAGAGTAGCTCTGCAGTAAGATAGTGCTGTGGACTGTCTAGTCCTTCCAGCCTTGCCTGCTTGGGAGCAGGGGAAGATTCACAGTATTATGTCTGATTGTGGTGCCAGCAATTCTTCTGAGCCAGCAGCTGCCTAGAGTCAGTCAAACTCACAGCATTCAAGGATGCTAGTAAATAAGAGTTATCATAATACAATGTTCCTTGAAACACTGTAAAATAATTTCCATCTATCTCAAACAGGGTCCTGTAGCATCATCCATGTCTATGCGGTCTGTTCTAACAAGCAGCTCCTGCCTCTCCCCACCACCACCACCACCACCGCCACCACCTGGACCTCCCCCCATCTTCGATACAGAAACTGTAAAGGATGAAGGAACTGCATCTCGTTCCGCCCTATTTGCACAGCTTAACCAGGGAGAGGCAATTACCAAAGGTCAGGAGAAATCAAATTTTGGTCCATGAGTCAAACTACCTCAAGAGCTGCCATATGTATTAACCTAACTTCCACTGCATTTTTAAATTACATTTGAGCAACTTCTGATGCTTCCAGGGAGTCTGATGAATGAGACTGCATACCAAAACCTCCTTCAGGAACAACAGCACCCAAATACATTAACACGCCTGAAATTCACACCATGTATTTAGAAGTATCCTTTAAATTTTAAGGCAGCAAAGCTGGACATCTTCAATCTCCAGTAGCTGGTGAACCTCTAAGCTGCAATTGCAATAAAAATTTATCCCCCTTTCTGATTCACATTCAGTGTCCCAGCCTGTGGCACAATGTGTTAAATGCTAGGTGAAAAGGTATGGCTCATAGATCAGCATGGACTACAATAATAAAGCTTTTTGTAATAACACTGGACAGTTGTACCTACAGTGGATGGCTGTGATTTTAACTACATAGGATTGATATATCTGCCTTTAATGCTGCAGGGATATGTCAAATACTGTCATAAATTGGAAAAAAGAATCTCATTTTTATGGATGAAAAGTATGATATAACAAGCTCTCAGAGCTCACTACAGAGAGGGATTAGAAGACATTGTGGCATTTCCTGTTATACCTCATACACAGAAAAAGAGGTTTTATAGAAACTGCTAAAAATGTAGGCAGTTACACTTTAGATCATTACCCAGACAACCTTGAGGAAATGAAGAATTTAAATTCACAGAGTAATTTAACACAATTACAAATGAACCCTTCCTGCTTAAATATGAACACCCTTAGGACTGGAAAACAGACTCTCCTTCATAAACATCCTTTCTTTTTAGGGCTTCGGCATGTTTCTGATGACCAGAAGACTCACAAGAACCCCAGCCTACGTGCCCAAGGTCCATCTGTTCGTTCTCCAACAAAAAGCCATACTCCAAGTCCCACCTCTCCTAAGAATTCCCTGCAGCAGAGCCATGCCCCTGTCTTGGAGCTAGAGGGAAAGAAGTGGAGAGTGGTAAGTTCCAGTCACACCTCTAAACTGAAGCCTGCATGTTGCAAACTGGCTTGAGCACTGAAACGAGTTGCAAGAAGCTCTCCATAATCTAGGTGCAACAAGTCAAAGTTGCAGCTAAAATGGGCTGAGTCTCGCATTGCTCTGCCTTGCTACAGTTTAGATTTTACTATTCTGTAGCATCTAAAATTAATTCATTTGTCTCTGAAAATCATATGCTAATTCATCTGAAGAATACTGGAACCAGCATATAAATTCCTTGCAAAATCCTCTAGAAACAAGTCCAGTGGAGAACTCCAGTTAAAATCCCTTCTTACAGTCCATTTGTGCAAGTGAGAGATAAAGGTATTATCACAGAGCACTTTCTCCAGCTTTGTTAACCAATGGAATGACACATTTCTTTTTCATCACCCATTCCAAGCAAGTATGTCTTCCATGCTTAAAAGTCAAGAAGTGTTTTCCATTTGCTCAATCTACAGATGGAAAAGGTAGATTTGTTTAAAGTTTGGACGTTAATTTATAGGCATAAACCAAAGAATGTATGAGTGAAAATTCATGTGACTGTGTGGTTAAAAGAGGGGGAAAACAATACGCAGTTTAGTCATGAAGAAGTGTATACACACAGTGATTACTGGGGAACTCAGTTTGCATAAGGTACAGTCAGTTTGCCAGGGTTATGTTGCCTTACAGTTACAGTACTTGGAACTTCCCTTATGCATCCAGTCTTTCCTGGACATCCATGGAGTGTAAATTTCCTTTCGTGCTTCATAATGAAATGAAATTTCTTCACCTATTACTCTTTATTGTATATGGTAATGCCTGCACCAGTTCATAACACACTGTATAGATCATTTTATAACATTTGGGAGAACAAAAGCTTTCTCTGTTTTTCATGGTGATGGTCTAAATTGGGTGGGAGCCAAGCAACAGCTCTGTGAGTACATTTTTAAACTTTCTTTGCTACAAAATCAATGGATTTTGTCGTGGCTTATGCTAAATTCTTCAGTTCTGCAGCTCTAAAATATACTTTTGTCATCTAAGGGTGAATTAGGTGAAATACTCGGTCACCAAGCAGATAGCATTTTTAAGCCACAGGAAGGATATTACTCTGTTGTAACTGAAGATGCAATGACTCAAGGACAAGTTGTTCTAAATTCTGACTGTTAGCAAGTTAAAGACAACCAATTAAATAAACTTTCTTTTGAAATAGGAATATCAAGAGGATAAGAATGACCTGGTCATTACCAACACTGAACTCAAGCAAGTGGCCTACATTTTTAAGTGTAACAAATCTACACTTCAGATAAAAGGAAAAATCAATTCAATTACTATTGGTGAGTGGAGAGCTCAGCTGGGTTTTAAATGCTAGTCTTGAAAAAACTGAGTTCTGTGATTAATAATGCATCTGAATCATTCCGTTCACTGTAATGGATTGGTCATGTGAGTAAAGTCTCTCAGCTATGCAGTGCAAGACTGGGGATTTTCATAGTTAATGCAGCAGGTGTGCATATATTTGCTTTTATCTTGCCTTTCTTATTTATGACTGCTTTTATTTTAGACAACTGTAAAAAGTTTGGCCTTGTGTTTGACAACGTTGTGGGAATCGTGGAAGTGATCAACTCCAGGGATATTCAGATTCAGGTAAAGATCTATTTGAAAAAACAAAGATAGAGAACAAGCAGGCAAAAAGTAAAGCCCAACATGTAGCTACAAGAGATTTTAAAAACTCATGGGAGCACAACAAAAACAAGAGATTCATTCAAATATATCTTTATATGCATTAAATTTTGATGATCTATTCAGAAAATGCCTATTGACCTTCACTGAGCAAACCTCCCTTAGCCCAGTCCCTTCCGGTTCCAGTGAAGCTGAGATATCTGTATACACTATAAGAACTGTTACTTCTGGCCCTAATTTTCTTGCTTGCACGCTAAACAATTCCTAATACTTGAAAGTTCAGTGGTACTTACGGAACAAATCCTGGCAGTTAGCTAATTGATTTCTAAGACTAGACGATGGTTACTTCTTTTTCTTACTCTCTCAGTGGAAATGCTGAGCTAGACTGTCAAAGGGCAACTAAATGACATAAAGTAAAAGTAGGTGCCATGGTTTCAAAAATCTCCCCTGCCAGTGATGTGACACATTACAAGAGTCTGAAATGTAGTCATTTACCTACAAATGGGCTATGAACCTCTACTGATTTTGTCTTTGATAACTGGTAAACAAAGCTTCATCAAAGATCATCTTCCTTGGGGTTCTCATGAAAAGAAGATACATGTATTTTAAATCCACACGTTGCCCTCCCTACTGGGGACACTTGCCTCATCCAAAACAGAGCAATCATCTCATTCCAAAAACGTCTAACTATACATGCTTTAATACTGGGTTGTGTCCAAGATACATGACCTAGTCTCAACGGGGACTTTAGGATGTATTCTTTCAAGTGAAAAAGAAATGAGATGTTTATTAAATGATATCAAACTGCTGGTCGTCAAAGTGAGGTCTTTTGCTTAAAAGGTTGTGCCTGCTGTATGACATTACATGTGGACAGTCCTGCTCCATACTTCAGAAATGCTTATCACAGCCACCACATGGAACAATGGGAAGATACTTCTTCATATTTTGAACCTCATGCAAATGGCTGATGTTGCTACTAGCTGTGCATCATCTGCTGAACTGTAATAAGCAGTTTTATTCATGATCCCTATATGACTTCTTATGGCAGAGGCAGTTAGTTAAAGATCCCAGGCATCTATTTGAGTGCTTTTTAAAATAGATTTTTTTTATCATTACCTCTAAAACTATTCATGAGAGCTGAAAAATTCATATATAATGAATAGTGAAACCACAGCTTGCTAATACTCAAATAAAATGGAAATATTTTTTCTGAGAATCCAAGTTCTTTTGATTAGCAGGTTCTATGAATATTACATAAAGCTTCTATGCCATAGAGTGGAGTTCCACTTAAGAAGGCAGAGTCTGGCTACATGCAGTATGCCACTTGAAGCAGGCAGTTTCTGTTGGGTTTGAGTATGACAAGTGCTGACCACCTCAATTTTCTCAATATTTTGAAGACCTGGTCTTATAATTTCCAAATGCATGATAAGTTAATGCAACAAATCTCAGTAAGTTCATCCTACAGATTTTGCTATAGG